AAATGGCAAAAATATTGGGTGGCAGTCAAGTTTGAACTATTTATACAAAAGATAAGAGAAACTGCCCAAAAATTGCAAGTATTCAATTATGTACGCAGTGGATCGTCCCGTACGATCGTGGAACGTCCTGGACGATTTTAATTCAATGGTCGGAAACGAACCTTATGTATATTGGTACGAATTATTTTCGTACACGCTAATCGTCCCGTACGAACCAAGTTCGTCCTGTACGAAACAGTTATTTCATAGGTCGGTTCACGAAATTTTTCAGGACGTAACCAACTGATGTAAGTAGGTTCAGTTCGTTCTGGGACGAATAGTTTTCGTCTGGACGAACAGAGCAAGCTTCAATACAGAGACGTTCGTTCTGGGACGAACCTTTTTTTTTGTCTGGACGAATGGAGCGAGCCTCAATACAGAGAGGTTCGTCCTGGGACGAACCTTATTTTTTGTCTGGACAAACACGACACGGTGAGAATACAAAGACGTTCGTCCTAGGACGAACCATTGATTTCATCTGGATGAATAGTAGAAAGTGAGAATCCCGAGACGTTCGTCCTGGGACGACTATTAAATTCGTCCTGGACGATTAGGACTTGGAAAAATTTTCTCTCCGCCTGTTCGATCCATTGCTCTCCTTAGGGGTAATTAACATGATCGTCCCGTACGAACTAAGTTCATCCTGTATGATCAGTTCACAAAAAAAAATGTTTCCCAAGTGTGTATATTGTGATTTTTCACTCAATTACAATCACTCCCTCTCATATCAAAACTTATGAAAATTTATTGAATTTGATTACAAGTCTTCAATATCTTGGAGTTGATTTTCCTGAAATGTTAGTACATACTATAGCAAGAAATAAATATTCCAAATCGTGTTAGGAGATATATGTAAAACAATAATAATTGAAATCATCAAAATAATACAAGTTGTAATAATGTAAAACATTCAAAATAGCAACTCTCTTAACAATTATGACTTTTCGTAGGATTAGACGTACTAGTGGTGGATAATGCCATTCATGGCACTATCCTAATTTAATCCAGTTTTGTTTCTTTGATTAGCATTCTTTCTTTCCATAGAACCATGACTAGCACGTCTATCATGGCAACATCCTAGTTTAATCTAATTTTTTT